CCTAATTGTCGTGCTAGAAACCCCATCCAATGACTGAGGGAAGTGGATGCAGAGATCCACGGCCAGGCCCCAGGTGGATCCAATTGGCGAGAAAGAGGAGGGTTTGTATGAGCGAGAATTGTTGAGACCAAGTTTGGAAAAAGCATAGGGACAAATAGCCAAACGAATGGAAACACATGAACTATGAACCAATAGCTGAGGAGCCCCCAACTGGATCAGGCCCTCTGGATAAGTGAGACAGTTGATTAGCTTGATCTGTTTGGGAGGCATCCAGGCGGTGGGACCAGGTCCTGTACTCAGTGCATGAGATGTCTGTTTGAAACCTGGGAACTATGCAGGGTCGCTTGGCTCAGCCTGGGAGGAGGGGACTGGATCTGCCTGAACTGAATCTACCAGGTTGAACTCAATCCCCAGGGGAGTCTTTGCCCTGGAGGAGATGGGAATGGGAGGTGGGCTGGGGGAAGGCGGGGAGGGGGGGCTGGGGGGGTGGGAGGGGGGAGAATAAGGGAATCCGTGACTGATATGTAGAATTAAATTAAATTATAAAAAAAGTATGTAAATAAGCATGATGTCTAGTCTAGTTCATGTGATTTGTTTCCCAGAATTAATATTAGTTACCAGAGTCATAGTCTTGCACCTTTTCCTCATAATAAGAATTATTCTTTTCAGCCAGGCAGTGGTGGTGCACGCCTTTAATCCCAGCACTCAGGAGGCAGAGGCAGGCAGATCTCTGTGAGTTCGAGGCCAGCCTGGTCTACAAAGCGAGTTCCAGAAAAGGCACAAAGCTACACAGAGAAACCCTGTCTCAAAAAAAAAAAAAAAAAATTATTCTTTTCATATAATTTTTTAAAAAAACATAAAGTGAAAAGTTTCCTGGATTATCTTGGCAAATTGTAATTTAACTGACACAGACAACTTTTAAGACTACCCAATAGCCCAAATATAATACCAAATAACATTAACAAAAAAAAGTACTAAAATAAAGAGGATGAAATGAAAGACTTACTTTGCATGCATCAGACAATGCCACCCTTTAACGCCATCTGCATGCCAACAACAGAGCTCTATTCTCTGGCCCCAGCTTTTAATCCCAGCCATCTATGTCCTGTGTCAGCTCTGGGCATCAGCCAAGCAAAAACTATGGCTCCGTGGCTCTCTCTCTGATGTGAATAAGACATGCTTCCTTACTCATCCGGGAGGCTGTTGAAACATCCCAGCATCACTGATGTGTGGCCAGAGCTGTGCAGGAGGAAATGACATGGAAAAAGGCTGGGCCCTAAGAAAGGCTTTTACATTGGGGCAATTAGTTACTTGAAGGTTTTATTATTTTCATTAAAACTGTAGCTATATAATAAAATTTTTCAAGCCACACAGAACAGTCATAATAAAACACAGTAAATTATCTTCTGAAATCACATTATTCACCATAATGGTTGTCGTTAATATTTAGTGATTGTGATGTCTTACTTTTGTTTCAAAATCTCTCTTTGGGTGCTAAAAAAGATGACAGACACCAAAGAAGCTGAGGCAGGAGGATGGCGGGAGCCCAGGAGTAAATAGCGAGACACTTGTCTCAAAAACAAAACAAGGAGACTGGAGAGAGGGCTGAGCAGTTAAGAAGCACTTGCTGCTCCTGCAGAGGACTGGGTTTGGTTCCCAGCACCCATAGCAGCTCACACACATCTATAATTCCACTTACGGATCCAATGCCTTCTTCTGGCCTCTGCAGGCAGGAGGCACACATGTAGTTCACATATAAACATGCAGGCAGGGCTGGAGAGATGGCTCAGCCGTTAAAGGCTAGGCTCACAACCAAAATAAACATGCAGGCAAAGCCCCATACACATAGAAATATAAAAATCTTTCTTTAAAATCTGTTTTCAAGGAATTGATTGTGGTGATAGTGTTCCCCAATATATTGGGCACCTTAATAAACTTATCTGGGGTTAGAGAACAAAAAAGCCGCCAAATAGAGACCAGAAAATGGTGGCACACACCATTTAATCCTTGTACTCTGGAAACAGAGATCCATCCAGATCTCTGTGAGTTCAAAGCCACACTGGAAACACCCAGGCATGGTGACACACGCCTTTAATCCCAGGAAGTGATGGCAGGAAGTAGAAAGGTAGGTATAGAAGGCATGAAAACCAGGAACTAGAGTCTGTTAAGCTTTTAGGCTTTTGAGCAGGAATTCAGCTGAGATCCACTCGGATGAGGACACAGAGGCTTCCAGTTTGAGGAAACGAGATCAGGTAAGGAATTGGCGAGGTGAGGTTAGCTGTGGCTGGTTCTGTTTTTCTGATCTTTCAGCGTTCACCCCAATACCTGGCTCCGGGTTTGTTTTTATTAATAAGACCGTCTAACAATTCATGCTACAATTGATTGTTTCTCACCCATTGTACTTGTAAAAATTAAATTGTGTTAATTAACTACAGCCCATGTTGTAGGGAAGTAAACTCTGCTGAGTGCTGTTATGGAGTGCAAACTTGTATGCTAACACACTGCAAGACAATACTCCAGAATCTGTGTTAAGAACCATGTGTCTATGTACCCCAAAATTTATATGTTGCCATTTTCATTTTATTGAATTGAATTGCATTGTATTTTTGGTGCTAGGGATGGAAGGCCTCATGCATGGGAAACAAGCTGTGTACTACCCGGATGCCTCCAGCCTGTGTATTGAAACCTTAACCCAGAGTGGGAAGGAGTTAGGACACTGGCCTTTGGGAAATAAGCCAAATACATGATTCCATGAATGTAGAACTCAGCCATGGAATCCTTCCATGAAGAAAGAAAGCAGATCACATGTTCTCCACCATCGGGTTTTTTTTTTTTTTTTTTTTTTTTTTTTTTTGGTTTTTCGAGACAGGGTTTCTCTGTGTAGCTTTGCGCCTTTCCTGGAACTCACTTGGTAGTCCAGGCTGGCCTCGAACTCACAGAGATCCGCCTGGCTCTGCCTCCCGAGTGCTGGGATTAAAGGCGTGCGCCACCACCGCCCGGCTCTTTTTTTGTTTTTTTTTTTTTTTTTTTTTTTTGGGACCACCATCGGGTTTAACAGGAGACAGGCTAGAAGCAGGCTCACAGACAGTAGATCTGCCAGTGCCCACAGAATGGTCTTCCCAGCCTCCAGAGCCATGAGAAATTCACAGGTGTTGCTTGAACAGCCAAGACTGTGGTATCTAATTACGGCATCTCAAACTAAGATTTCCTGGAACTCAAATTGTGCGTGTCCTGAAAACCAGCCCACAGTGCTTTAAAACTAACATATCAGGCATACAACCACTGTGGGGATCCCTGTAAGCTTCACGGACACAGGAAAACATTAGCGTGAGGTAAAGAAAGATAATTGGTTCACTCAATGTCGTTAGCCAACACCGATTCAAACTTCTGAAGCCTGACACCAGGCCAGTTTATTTAGACACATTTTAAGTCTAGTACGATTTTGGAAAAAAGTTTCCTGGTAACAATTATCCCAGTCCCATGTGGTCAATAAATCTTAAGATGTGGCTACACAGAAACTCTTTTGCAAAACATGCATGACCTCCACCACAAATGATTGCTTAAGGGCCTAGGATCTGGTGTGGTCTCTGACCAAGATAGTGTAGAGGTTAGCAGGCTATAAACTACATGTGACATCTCCCCTGAGGATGGGTTCTATGGACTGAGAAACAAAGATAAAGATAAAGGTCAAGGGAGGGAGAGCCTGCAATAAACATTCTGGGTGAGGTATGGCCCTAGAGGTGGTCACCAAATGTCACCAGGTTATTGACAAGATCCACTCTCAGCCTTCGGGATGGAAAGCAGAGATATTCATTCACTCCATTGAGGAGATAACCCTGCATGATTAACACTCTAGGTTTCTCCAGTGCTTATCTGCGAGCCCTCTACACACCACAGAATCCACTTAAAGTCACACATTTCAGGAGGATTTAGTATGCCTGCAGGGTTAAGCAGCAACTGTGTACATATGTATCATATGTACAGTTGTGTCGCTACTCTGTGCTAGGAAAGGTAAATTTGATTGTTTATAGATAATCTTGCAACAAATACAACACTTAAAATTTTCACTGAGTGAAACACATATCATGTAAGAGTCACATTCAGAGGACATACAACTCATGGATGTGCTATTCTCCCTTTACAACAAAGAGAAACTAGAGACCAGCAGAGTATCTACCGTTGTGGCAGTAACTAAATAAAATGTAGTAAAGTTGAATCGCATGCAGAGGAATAATCTAGCTCTACATGTATCAGATAAATAAAGCTCAGAAGCAGTCTAGTAAACATAAAAGATAAGTGTACAAAACTTGGATGACATAAAAATCATGCATGTGGGCTAGAGAGATGGCTCAGAGGTTAAGAGCACTGGCTGTTCTTCCAGAAGTCCTGAGTTCAATTCCCAGCAACCACATGGTGGCTCACAACCATCTGTAATGAGATCTGGTGCCCTCTTCTGGCATGCAGGCATACATGCAGGCAGAACACTGTATATGTAATAAATAAATAAATAAAAAATCATGCATGTAAAAAAGACATACAAACTAAGCAGGTTGGGTGAGCCTGTGGAGAAGCACCTCCTTAAGTCTACTTGAATTGACAGGTGCTAGGCAGGCCCACCAGCAGGGTCACATGCATGAAAACATCAAACAAAATATTTTCCTTATTTAAACTCTGTTGAATACCTGGATTGACTTTAAAGGTCCAAAAAGAATATCCAACAAATTGGTGACATTCATTGCCTTTGGCAAGAGTAAGAAAATACCAGAATTTGGAGAGCACTTGGAGTTCTGTCATATTTTCTCCAAAAGAAAACATATTCATCTATTACATGATTAAAAATAATGTAAAATATGAAATAGACAGAGACCATAAGTATGAAATCATGTGCTGTGTATGGATCCCCACACCCAACACACACACACACACACACACACACACACACACACACACACACATACATACACACACACACACACACATACACACACAGGTGATCTTACCAATTTGGATTCTCCACACTTTCCCGGAAGACAGACTCTTCCCTCATGGATGCATACTGTGTCCACGTGAGACAGTGACTCCGAATAGCCATGTTCCTTTCCCGGAGACTGAGCCACGATTCCTCTTCTAGCTGGACATTAGGTACCTTTAAAATACTCACCTGTCCAACAGAGAGAGGACAGCATTCTCAATTTAGGAAGAGCAAGCTACATGAAGACTGCCTAGGGTAGATCTCAGCCTCACATAACAAAAGGGACAAGTGGTCCTAATGTAGGGATGGCACTTCAGCAACACCCCTCAGTCTCAGATAAGCAGACACACTGTGGCCTCACTACATGCTGCCCAGGGTTTGCAAATGGCCCAGGATTGATGTAGACCACTAAACAAATTATCAGCTGCCTTGTGTCTCCTCTGGGGCAGGCCTCCTTGCGTTGATGGATCCTCATCAGGCCCACCTACACGCTCCCATGCAGGGCAGTATCAAGAGAAATACTTTCCTAGTTGTAATCTCTGTTCAGTCCCTAGAAATCGATGCTTTCCCAGGTGGAGAGGACAAGGAAAGCTACAAAGGCAGAATTGTACAAGTCAGAGCCTTAAATTATTTAAGAATTGAGATACAAGACGAACTTGAATGCCTTTTTAAATAATAGATTCAAAGTGCGTATATGGGGCAAAGGCAGCTATGAACTCTGGAAAAGCCAGTGATAATTTGCCGCTGAAGCGCAACACAGCTTCCCATCTGCAAGTCAAAAGAGGTTCATCTTCTTCGTGGTTCTAGCTTTCTTTCCACTAAGGGAATAACTGTTTTAACCCACGATGAGGAATGGATGGGAGCTGCCTTTTTTCCTAGCATAAGCACAGCAATTTAATCTGCAAGCTAATCCTTAGTGCCCAGATTCATTCTGTATCACACAGGGAATCTCTTCTGAGGCATTTTTTAAGTGCCTGTCAAGATGCTCTCCTCTTATGTATTCAAAGACCCCCATCAAAAAATCCTGCATTGTGAATGAAGGGCTCCATAACTGTTTCAAGTACTGAGAATAAAAGACAGCAGGTGCTCAGCCATAGATGGGGCATCGATAGCAAACACCTCCAGGTTCAGGGAACCCGGTGGAAGAGAGGAAAGAGGGAATGCAGGAGAGGAGTGCTGTAGAAGGCTGTCTTACGGACATGACATGGCAGTTGTACCTATGAACTCACAAGGGCTGTGCTTACCTGCATAAGACCTGCATAAGAGCAAGCCGGTTAAAAATCCAGCATAGACAGCACAGACAGGGGAGGCTTAGCTGAGGAATTATTGCAGTTGAAGTCTACTAAAGGAGGGAGAGCTACTTTTCTTTGGAGGGGTACCCATGCCCCAGTGGATAACTACAAACCCAAGCACATGTGGGCAACACTAACTACTTTTCTTTGGAGGGGTACCCATGCCCCAGTGGATAACTACAAACCCAAGCACATATGGGCAACACTAACTACTTTTCTTTGGAGGGGTACCCATGCCCCAGTGGATAACTACAAACCCAAGCACATGTGGGCAACACTAACTACTTTTCTTTGGAGGGGTACCCATGCCCCAGTGGATAACTACAAACCCAAGCACATATGGGTAACACTAACTACTTTTCTTTGGAGGGGTACCCATGCCCCAGTGGATAACTACAAACCCAAGCACATATGGGCAACACTAACTAGACTCAACGATTTAAAAATTATAATGCTAGAATAAAAACAGGAGAACATGAAGTTGGGAGGGAGATTCTGAAGGAAGTTGGAGGGGGAAGGGGGTAGATAAGATCAAGACATATATGTATATGTATATATATGTGTATATATATACATATAAGTATATATATACACATATATATACACATGAAATTTTCAGAATAAATAAAAACCATTTTTTAATACTTCTACAGCTAGGCATGGTGGTACACACGTGTTATTTCAGAACTTAGATGGCCAACTTTAGGAGGATTATCCTCAGTTTGAGGCCAGCCTGGGCTACACCCTAAGTTCCAGGCCCACCAAGGTTATGGAGTGAGGCCCTCTCTGAAGAAGAAAATCCATGTATGGTTCAAGCCATGCAAATGATGTTTTCAACTTACCTCCGTCCAACACAGAATCATCAGAGTGCTTAAGGGTTTCAAAGAGAGAAAACAATTTTCTATCATGAAGATTCCAGCATCAGTGACCTTATTTCACAGAAATACACACCAAAAGGCTTGCACAGGGCACTAAGAATATTATGCTTCCAGAGACAGCTGTTACTTCTGACAGTGCATTGCAAAACGAAAGTGTGGACTTCCTAACCGAACGTGACACTAATACAGTCTTCCCACTTCTAATTGTTCCTACCTATTGCTAACCACAGACAGAAGAGAAAAGACAACACTTGGTTCAAAACGCCAAAAGTGCCTGAAAAATAATCATCAAATCTCCCCACATCCATGAAGAGCCCTTCTCGGAAAGGACAGAGATGAGACATTCCAGAGGCATCTGCCAAAACTGGGATGGGCATGAAAGAAATATCTCCCCTACAAAACCATGAGACTGGGGAAGTGGGAGATTCTGACACTACTTTAGATCAGAAAATGCTGTCTTTTCCTATGACTATTAAAACTCCTCAATTTTGTACCCACTGTGATTAAACTCTGAAATGAATTTACCTTTCTTAAAATTTCTGGAACCACATTCTGACAGATAGCAATCCTCTTTCTATAGATGAGTCCTGTTGATTCATCTAGAAAAAGAAAATTTCATAGCCAAAAAATAATTAGGGAAAAAGCGTATTCTTATCTAAGAGTCCATAGAGCTTTTTAACTCAACTTCAATTTTCAATATGTAGAATTCTTACAGATAAAGTTTAACACAAAATTAAGTTTTCCGGGGGCTGGAGAAATGACTCTGTGGTTAAGAGTGCTTACCACTCTTACAAAAAGTAAATAAGTTTGGTTCCCAGCACCTACCTCAAGCAACTCATACCTGCCTAGAGCTCCATTTCCAAGGAATCCAACACATCTAGTTTCCTCAGACGCCTACATCTAGGCACACATATCCCACAGACATATACAAACAAAATATGAAATAAAATTAAAAAATTTTAAAAAGCATTCTCCTTTTCTGATCCGTTTTCTAAGCCAAATTACAAATGCTCGAGAGATAATGGTAAAACAACCTCAAACACAGTGCTAAAGTTGAGAAAATGAATCACAAACGGACCACCACTCTGGGCGATCAGTGTCAAGCATCCAGTGGCAGTGGCCAGTGGCCACCTGCTCCACAACAAGAGGATGGTAACGGATTCCGCCACCTCCTGGACCACACTGTCACACAAAGATTTCTGAGTGTATCACTTAAGCCTGTAACTAAATAACTACACGAGTCATATTCATAGAGGAATGAAACCCCTGTGACCAGAGCATTCCTGGAGGAGAGTTAAAACTAACGATAATAATGACAACAAGTATAAGTTAGATGAGAGGAAACAGAAAAAAAAAGACAAACTGTGAAGTGCTGTCCTTTCTCAATGAATTACTAAGGCCCAGACACACGGCGAGGTTCCTCAGCGCTCTGAATACAGCTTTCCTAACAACCCCTGTTGCAAACACTATGGCCACCAGGAACCTGCAGTCGGGAAACAAACGCTCCACCCCTAGCAGCCCTTTGGCAACCTCAGACAGTGTGAGCAACACATATATTAAAAATGGAGTCCCTTCTGGACATGGTGGCACATGCATTTAATCCCAGCCCCTGGGAGGCAGAGGCAGGTGGCTCTCTGTGAGTTCTAGGCTAACCTGGTGAGCATAGTAAGTTTCAGGTCAGCCAGGATTAAATAGTGGGAAAAAAAAAAAATGGAGGCAAAGATGACATCCTGAAATTCACAGGATTGTTTTACCATTTGACAGACAATGACTTTCAGCCTTTTAAAAGTTAGGTCATGGGGGAAGTAACAGATCTAGGACTCAAAATCAGGTTTGTCTCAGGCCAGAAAGCAAGCTCGTCCCATACTATATACAGGTCCATGAGAAAAAGCTTTTACAGTCTATTTCTACAGCTGCAGGTATGCAGAAAGCAGCCCCATAAATAAGACGGTTTCATGTTTATGCAGCACAGCGGAAGCTGCAGCCACATCACCAACAGCAACACCCGTGGTTTCTAAGGCTGAAGAGCATGCTGGGCCAGGCTCTGGATATCTCCACAGGCTTGTGCATCAAGTGCGCACATCATCAGAGCTCCCAGTACCGCCCACGCTTCAAGTTCCAACACTAACAGTTACAATGCCTCCCCTGAAGAAGGAAATGCAGAGATCACCATAGACCCCCGAGGTGGAGCAGTCAACATTTTCTGAAAGGGGTCATGGGGTATATAATTTAGATTTGTGGACCATATGGTCTCTTTTGCAAATACTCAGCTCCTGCTATAACTCAGATAAAGCAGCCATCAATAACATACAAACAGAGGGAGTGGCTAATGTGCAACAAAACCTTGCTTACAAAAACACCCAGCATGAGCCATAATTTGCCAAACCACAGTATGGTTTACAATGGTTTCATTGCTGTAAATCTAAGCAATTTACAGCAATGTCACATGCTATTTTTTAGTAGTCTGGGCTAGCCTTGAATTCCTCATTCTCCCGCTTCCACCATTCAATGGCTGGGATACAGACATGAGCCGCACCATGCCTGGCTTCCCCTGTGTGCTATCTACAAATGTTTTGCCATCTAGAAATTGACATGGGACAGAGATACAGCCAAATGAGCTTGGGCAGGTCAGTCTCTCTGTGCTTTACTACCCTGCACTAAATGGGAATAATCTTAATTCCTACCTCAAACATCTTTCTAAACATTGAACGAGCTAATCAAAGTAAGATGTTGGCACACATTAAGTACTTCAACATGTCACCTGCCCAGCCTCAGTCTTACCATCAACTATAATTTAGAAAGTGACAAGAGCCCTGTAATAGATAGATGTAATAGATATACATACAGGCAGGCGTGCGCACGTGTGCATGCGCACGCGCGCGCGCGCGCGCACACACACACACACACACACACACACACACACACACACACACACAAATACATCCTTTACAAAGTCAGTATACTTAATGAGCATAACTAAAGTGCAGGCATATTCAGAGAACTTACCTTTCTTTTCTTCCACAGTTTTTACAGAGATGACATTTTTATCCATGGGGTTGGGATACTAAATGAAAACACATAAAGAAAAGTTAGCATTCTCTTTTGTCAACATGAATCAGCTGATAGAAATGATGACAGGTACCTGTAGGACCAGTAAACATCTTCCAAGAAACATCTATGTAAAACCCAGTTTTAAATCAAGGATCTTCGTTTTACCATTTGGACTCAAACAAGTGAGGCGGGCTTTCATGAAATCCAGGGACAATTTATTTAGTTTGGGGGGTGGGGATCTTGCCCGCATATGCAGCGTGTACCATGTGAGTGCTTGGTGCCAAAGAGAGGATCAGAGGGCATCAGAATTCCCAAGAACTAGAGTTACAGATGATTATGAACCTCCACATCAGTGCTGGGAATTGAACCCAGGTCCAACAAGAGTAACAAGTGCTCTTAGTCAATGAGCCATCCTTCCATCCCTAGGAAAACCTTTAGATCCTATCTAAGCCCTGAGCAGAGATGAGAATGAGGTTGGAATAAATAATAATAACAACAACAACAGCAACAATAATAATAGTGATGAACCAGGCTAACATCAACCAAGAATGTTCTTGGAGCCAGACCTGGGTTAAATGCCTTAATTACACCATCGTGTCTAACTCTAATAGCTATTCTGTTGTGAAGGAGTTACATAATATTATCCCCAATTTTCAAAAGTAGGAACTGGATGAAGACTGGATTGATTCAGGAATTAAAAAGGCCAGTCCAAAACAGAGAGAATTCCTTTACTACTACCCTGGACCATGATCTAGTGATTGTGTTAGCACCTCAGGCAAATGATAATAAAAGGATAGGATGTCAGGCACACAGAAGACATTCAATAAATAATTTATTTCCTTTATTAAATTGCCCTGGAAGACAATTTAGATACACCAATGTTGCTAACATCTACCACTTTTAACCTACTCAATTTACATATATAGTCTGTTAATTCTCAAAAGCATACCATGGAGTTATTTTTTTTTTCTATTTCCTATATGGAAGATGAGGCTTGGAAAAACTAAATACCCTGTTAAAATCGTTAATAATTACTGCACCTGGGATAATGTAACTTACCCCGGATATTGTCTGGCTACCTCCACATCCATTGTGAAGTCACCTCTGAGGTACTCTAACCCAACCTTTCCATTACTCAGATGTGGGGGGAGAGAGAGGATATGAATCTCTCAAAGCCACAGGATAAAGTGGCTTCTAACTGGAGACTGATGCTCTGGGCTATCTCCTGCCCCCTCCCCAGATCCCCAGCTTCATCACGTGATCAAATGGCATCTTAACACACTGAGTAGAAGCCAAGTGCACTGCCCAGGCTGAGGTGGGAAGAGGAGTCCTTTGCCTACAGATCTTGAACTTCAGGACTCCTGAATCCTTAGAAATGAAATATAAAACTCTAGCAGTATGGGTCTCAAAGAACCAAAATTAAGAAGGAAGAGGCATTTGTGCATGCATTCACTCAGTTCAGCCCTTGATGGAAAGGCTCAAAATTACAATGACTACGTCCATGAAGCTTAGCCCTCTGGAGAGCAATGCTGGTATGAGAAGGATGGGCTGAGGATTCTGTTCCTCTACAAAGGAGACTTCCTGCACACAGCTCCTTAAACCATGAGGATAGGTGTGTGAATTAGCCTTTTTACACTAATGTAAAATGAAATTGTTTCCTTTACTGTATTCCAGCTTGTTCATTACATATCCATAAATGCATTCCAAGTAAGTGTTAAAGTCATGCTATAATTGTAGGAAGTTAACTAAACTAAATTATGAAGGAAAACAGAATGCATCACCAGACAGGCACAGTAATAAAACTTTCTCAGTGCTGATTACATCACTAAATTATCAGTGAAATTCTTACAGGTTAAACTACCCTACTTCACACTTCCATTTAATTTTCATTTTACCTAATGAAAAAGGATATTCATTTAAATAATAAGGTCCCTCTTCATCTTGTTTATGATTAGACAAGTAGGAAGATGAGAGATAGATAGGTAAGTAGATAGATAGATGATAGATAGATAGATAGATAGATAGATAGATAGATAGATAGACAGACAGACTTTTATCTTTGAGTTTTAGTGCCATGAAGAGACATTATGGCCACGGCAACTCTTATGAAGGAAAACATTTCATTGGAGCTGGCTTACTGTTCAGGTTTAGTCCATTATTGTCATGGTGGGAAGCATGGCAACATGCAGGCAGACATGGTGCTGGAAAAGGAGCTGAGAGTTCTACAACTTGATCCACAGGCAGCAGGAAGAGACAGTGCCTGGCTTGAACTTCTGAGACCTCAAAGCCCATCCCCAGTGACATACAACAAAGCCATACCTCCTAATAGTGCCACTCCCTATGAGCCTATGGGGGCCATTTTCTTTCAAACTACCATAGATAGATAGATAGATAGATAGATAGATAGATAGATAGATAGATAGATAGATAGATAGATGGATGGATGGATGGATGGATGGATGGATGGATGGATGGATGGATGGACGGATGGATAGATAGACAGACAGACAGACAGACAAACAGATAGCCAAATACTGTTCCAGACACTGAGGATATAGTCGTGAAATGAAAACCATGTAGCCTCTTATAAAATGCATACATTACTTGAAGAAACAAACAAAAGCAGTAAATAAATATGTCAGATCTGCTTAAGAGAAAATAGGACAGGGTGATAGGTAGAAAAGCCCGGAAGACACAGTGGAAAACACTTAAGGGTCACTCATTTTACAATCCTTGCAAACAGCTGTAGGAAAATGGAACTTCTAATAGCTGAACATGAGACCATGAACTGTTCACTCTAATAAATATCATTCGCAAAATCTAAGTTGTTTTCCTTCATGAGTTAATAGACATAAACCTCAAGTTTCCATAAAGAATGGCAAAGGAAATTAGAGGTTTGTGTGAAACCAGCTGAATACATGACATGGATGGTGCGAATTTTAACGCTTTTCAGCAATTAAAAGTGTATTGAACCAAGGCTCTCTACCTGGCATTACTTGAAATAATAGAATGCCATCTTGTGGTAACCTATATATCCATGTTTTAATTCTTACACACGAAATATGTGAAAAGCCTGATTCTAAGGGATTAAGAGAGGAGAGGCTGCTCCGAGCTCATACTCGGAGTCCTTCCCTCCAGCCTCATGATTTCTGAACATCTATTCTAACACCACGTGACTATGGAACTGATCGAGCCAGATCCAAATATACACTGTGCCCACTCTGAGCATGTTATATAGTGGCTGCTCCACACGACCTCATTTAGTTCTCTTCCAAACAGGGAAACATACTAGCGAGTATTATGATATGAACTCTTCTTGTTAAAAGTCTCATGTGTAAATCCTGCACACGAACAGAGATGGGCCTGCCCATCCCCACTCCATACCAGACACTCCTGGGAGCAACATGGTCTGTTGACCCAGTTTCTGCCAAAAAGCCCTCGTCTTTTTTGAGCCTTGTTCAGTGGCTGTGTATATACATCAGGTGCACTGTATTTTATCAGTGAGTCTAGAGATTTCTCAAGGTACATTTGGCTTTGTTTTTTATCTTCTTTATGATTTTACTTCCTTCACAGAAAAAGCGGGCAGACTCCTTTCCCAAGATATAAGTCTACCGCAACACAAACAAAGGTAAAATGCATACTTCTAAGGTTGTCACCCATCCCTTTTCATTTTCCTTTTTACATATTACAAGAGACCAGGCCGGGCAGTGGTGGCACATGCCTTTAATCCCAGCACTCGGGAGGGAGAGCCAGGCGGATCTCTGTGAGTTCGAGGCCAGCCTGATCTACAGAGCGAGATCCAGAACAGGCACCAAAGTTACCCAGAAAAACCCTGTCTCAAGAAAAAAAAAAAAAAAAAAAGAGGCCAGAAACCATTTGAATGGAGGTATCTTGAATGGGTAGATAAAGCTACTCCTAGAATCCATAGGTTATTAAATGAAATCCCATTTCCAGGGATGGGCTACCTCCCTACAATATCCCTCGGGAGCCTCCAAAATCACACAGGTGGTTGCCACTGCTGTTGGCTGCCCACCAGAACTAGATGGTTAGACCCTGTTGATGAAGACAGCACATGCTCTGGTCTAAGGACACTGGGAAATTAAGCTAGAGGTGAGCTGGATGCTCCCTCCCTGATGACTGGCCCTCACAGTGTCAGCAGTGCTGAGACAGCTGTGGGGAAACTGTCCTCAGCTCTCTTACTCAGCTTTGGACCCCGAAAAGCTGTCTTGCTGAATTGCCAGGCAAGATGTTCTTACTACTGAAACAGCAGCAAGTCCATTATGGGGTAACCAACGCCCCCCCCCCCTTTTTTTTTTTGAGACAGGTTTTCTCTGCTTAGTTTTGGTGCCTGTCCTGGATCTCGCCCTGTAGACCAGGCTGGCCTCAAACTCACAGAAATCCTCCTGGCTCTGCCTCCCGAGTGCTGGGATTAAAGGAGTGCGCCACCACCGCCCCAGCAACCAACTACTTTTTAACCGGACTGGAAGCCTGCTTCATAGGAGAGAACTAGTGCTTAGTAATATAAGCCTAGTCAAAGTCCTGTGGCTGGGGGCTGGAGAGATGGCTCAGCGGTTAAGAGCACTGACTTCTTCCAGAGGTCCTGAGTTCAATCCCAGCAACCGCATGGTGACTCACAACCATCTGTAATGAGATTTGACACCCTCTTCTGGCCTGCAGGTATATATGCAGACAGAATACTATATACATAATAAATAAATAAATCTTTTAAAAAAAAAAAAAAGTCCTGTGGCTGGAGAGGTCATGCGTCCAGAAGAAAAGCTACTGCTGTTGTTTGCTAAATGGATATGCTGTGTTCGTTAAATTGGCTTCTAAATAATTATGTTTATTATTCCCATAGATGAATATTGCTGTCACCTCTGGGTGCAGACCCTTCTTTTTGTAGTAAGTAGTGGTTACTGAGGAGATATAACTGCTGGTCAAAGTGCTAAGAGGGAGTGACTGTTGAATGCTCAGCCCTAAACAGACATCTATATCACCTCCTTCAAGGCTCAG